AGGCAGTTAGGGTAAAAAGACCCCAAAGAAATGTAGCTAGTTTCTTGGCTAAAAGTCAAAATGTCCTTGGGCCTATTAGCAACATACTGTTCCAAAGGCCAAAAATGTCAAAAGTATTTGGGAGTTTGTATCTAATCCTTACAAGATTTTAGGGTTACCACTTCAGAGGGGGGAATGTTGGAGGGGAGTGGGCATGGATTTGATCAAAACACCTTTTATATATGTATGAAATTCTCAATAAAGTTTTATAAAAATTAAAAAAAAAAAAAAACCTCACAGGAACGTGCCTGGAGTGTCCCAAGTGCTTCACAGAATTACAACACAGAAGTACTACAAACCAGAGAGTTCAATAGTGTCATCCTCCACTAGTCTTAATGGTACAATCCTGGAAAAAGCTATTTTCTCTTTAAGCCTGTTTCTTCATCATTATAACATGATTAGCAAGTAGACTCTATGCCAAGAGAACAAATAGGTGTCTCTTAAATACTATCGGAGTACTGGACAGGAACTTTCTGGTCCATCACCATTAGCATGCCTGGTTTGTAATGAATAAATGCTAGTAGAATGGGAAATACCTGAAGAAGAAACCACTACTAACACACTGCAACTTTCTGAGAATGAAATTTGTCATAATGGCACTTGCTATATATAAGTATTCAAACATGTTCTAACATTTTACAGTATTATTTCACTAAAACCTCACTGTATCTTTGTTGGACATATATCTCTGCTTCACAGATGAGGAAACCATGAAGCTAGTCAGTAGAACAGTCAAACTTTCAACACAGATGGCCTGGCCCCAGAGGCCATGCTCCTAACTACTAGGCTGCACTCAGGAACAAGCAATAATACAAGTTGCTTTTACTCAGACAACATTTAGAAACTTAGAGAAAAAAGGAATTCCAATTTATGGGCAATAACTAATTATTTCAGCAGCTAGATGCATATGCCCTGTGGAATCTGAAAGTTATGACCTATATGAGTTCAAAGTAAATGCACCTTTTGAGTGTCAAGATTGGTTTGTGAGCTGGGCATTGTGGCACGTACTGTAATCACATTGTTGGGGATCAGGAGTCCATAGCCAAGGATCACTGGGCAACATGAGACCTGTCTCAAAAACCCAAAAAGAAAAACCAAAAAGACTGACTTATGACTGTTGTGCTCTTCAGTGAACCTCATTACTGTACTTAAAAGTCATATACGAAATGTGTGAATCGACTTTTATCCCCTTCAAATGCTTCCAAATGCCATTTCTGTAAAATTCTCTGTAAAGTCATCTAACTCCACTACTATCAAAACACTCTGAAACACATCACCCACTGTCTTTGTTAGCTTTAGCTTTCAACTTGACAGAGCCTACAGTCATATGAGGGAATCTGAATTGAGTGATTTCCCAATTCAGATTGGCCTGTTTTCATGTATGTGAGAAATTGTCTTGACTGGTGATTGAAGCGGGAGGGCCTAGCGCACTGTAAGCAGCACCATCCCTAGGCAGGTGGGCCTGGCTATTTAAAAAAACTAGTTGAGCATGGGTCAGTTAGCAATCCAGTAAGCAGTGTTCCGTGTTTTCTGCTCCAGGTTACAGCCTTCAGGTTAATGCCTTGAGTTCTTGCCCTGACTTCCCTCAAAGATGGATTACTAGAAGAATAAGGTGAAATAAACTCTTTCTTCCCCTAAGTTGCTTTTAGTCAGTGTTTTATCACAGCAAAAGAAAAGCAAACTAGAGCACCCACATATATCCCTTTCCATTCCCATCATTTTTCTCTTCTTTTTCCAGTCAAGTAAGGAAAGGAGCACAATGAAGACAAAGTACTTAGGACCAAGTACTGACTCCAACCAGCACCTGGACCTCTCAGGTTCTTGTTTACACAAGAAGTGCTTACCTCATGTGTGTATAACACAATGTTGAGACTGAGAATTCAGCAAGGAGTAAGACACTTTGCTCTCTGACCGGAGAGAGCTTACATTCTAGTAGGCAGGATAAGACAAAACAGAAATCACAGAAGGAAAAAGTATAATTGCCACCAAAGAAGAGAAACAGACAGAGAAAAGAGAGATAGATGGTTAGAGAAGCTTGGAAAAGGCCTTGGAAAAGATAGTGGGTTGGAGCATGAAGAAAATCCCAGTGGCCCCAGCATGAACAAAAACTCTGAAGGGCAAGGCACAGAGAAGGTGAGAGTAAGGAATCACTTGACAAGGTACAAGTCAGTATTCAGTAAGAGGAGCAGAAAAAGTTCAAAGTTCAAAGCCAAGTCAGAAAGCTAGAAATGTCTTTAGTCAGTATACAGGAGTCACCGAGGAGGGCAAAGAGAGTTGAAGGTTGGAAAGACCTATCTACCATTCTGTCTTTACCTCTCACTGCACTCTGGCCATCACGTCAGCCTTCTTGTCATCTCTGACTCACCCAGACCAGAGAAGCACCTTTTGTATTCCCACACACATATACATATCACAATCATCAATTTATACACATATAATTATGGGTTAACATGAAAGAAACTTGACACCAAGTATATGATTAATTTTTGTAACACTAACACTTAGCATAATATCTAAGCCAGTATATCTCAAATATGCTGTACATCAGAATCATTTAAGAAACTTTAAAAAAATGTTGATGCTCCAAGACAACCCCAAAGTGATATCAGAATCTCTAGAAGGTGGTTTGTTTGAAAAGGTTCTCCTTGACTCTAATGTATAACCAGGTACAAAAACAATGTCTTAGAGCATAGTAAATACTCAAGTGTTTCCTGGACAGATGGACGTATGGACGATAGAGGGAGGAACTAGATGGAAGAAAAAGGGCAGCTTTAAAAAGGTGATAGGAATCTGGAGTAGTTGAGCCAGTGAGGATGAAAAACATACCTAGCCCTTTACTTCTTCCCCCAACAAGTAATAAGCTTTAACTCCACAAAATTTAAAAGATAAAAATAAAAGCAGACAAACAGAAAGGTGGTAATCAGGACATCTTATTTTTTTCTTTAGTTAGGGCTTTATCATCCTCCCTCTTCTCCATACCAATATGCATGGTCTGTGGGGGCACTCATGTAAATGCAGGTAACTGCTTTTATTTTTTTCCTTTCCCAAAATATGTACTATACCTGTCATCCAGTTCAATCCTTTTCATACTATGAAGGTGCAAAACAGCTAATATTATTGCTACGAGAAATATTACTGCACAACACACCCCTACACTGATATAAAACACACGCGTGGAAGTAGTTGGAGCTGCATGTACAGGATCATCTGAAATAAAAATGAAAAGCACATTAGGCTTTTTAAACAAATCTGACCAAGTGCTTTGTGATCTAATGTACATAATTGAGTGGCCTGTACTCAAAAAGATCTGCATTGCACTATGCTCATTCTTTAAGATCAGGTAACAGTAGCCTTCTGTTCACTCAATTTGAGGTTTTTGTTAAAGAAAATTTTAAATAAAATTTCTGATAAACACATAAACTTATCCCAGTGCATAAAGTGCACAAAGCTGAGCTGTATCCCACAGCATTCTCTACAGCTAAGAAATGTTCTACAGTGTATTTACAGAAACAGACAAATGGATTATCTAGTCAAACACAGGAGCCACTTGCCACCTTAGCTATGTGGCAGTGAAACACTAATAAATTAACTTTGTCAATTTTATTTCATGTTAATGAGTTTATAGTTTCAAAGCAATATGACTAATAGTTACCCTAATGGACAGAGAACAGTTCTTTTGAGTAATAAAAATGAATTTGCCTCTTTAATTTTTTAAAAGTTTTATTGGTTAAATAAAATTACATCCAGCTAATATTTTTTTAAAAAAAAAAAAAAAGAAATGGCTCAGAAATAAGAAAAATAACCCAATGCACTTGCACGTGCAGGCATCTACAAAGACGCAGACACACAGAGGTTGAGTAAGGTGGTGTATACTCGTAGGGCTGAGATGGGAAGACGACAAGCAAGGCAAACTTAGGAGGGCCACACAGATCCAAAGATACTTTATGAGCAAGCAGAGCAAAGACATACCGACAAGCACAACTGGCATGCCTAGACAGTCTCAGAAGTTTTGGGGGGTGGGGTTGTTTGCCTCCTGAGTCCTGGGTTTAAAGGCATGCACTTCCATGCCCCGTGAGTCAGGGAAACTGACAATGTGTAGTCACATCATAATTCTACTGAAAAAAACACCTGAGGAATTTTTTGGTTTATCCCCAATTAAGATGGGAAATCGCTGCAAGAGTTCAAAGGAATGACGCATGTAGTCATCTACGAAGCTGATGACAGCTAGGTGAAGACAGCTGCAGAGGGGAGAGCAGAGGGAACGAATCACAAAGACAGCGGGGCGGGCCAAGAAAGGGACTGCAGTGGTTTGGCTAGGAGTGTCAGAGGGAAGGGGAGAAATGAAGAGGTGTGAAGCAGAGTCAGCAGACTTTACTGAGGTAGAAAGGAAAAGGAACCGAAGCTGGGGCTTAAGGAGTCACTTGGATGTCGCCTTTGTAAGAGAAAAGAAATGGGTTGGGGGAAGTTAACAATCAAGAGGGTTTCTTTCTTTTGTTTTGGTCTTGTCCAAGTTAAATAAATCTGAACTCACTAGCAAACATCCATGTGGAGAAGTCCAATTAAAAGGAATACATGTATTGGGCTGGAGAAATGGCTCAGTGAGTAAAGTGCTTGCTGTGCAAACCTGACAATCTGAATTTGGATCACCAGAATAGCATACAAAGCCAGATGTGATGGTGTGCACCTATATCATAGCACTCCTCCAGCAAGATGGGAGGCAGAGACAGGAGAATTGCCCAGAAGCTTGTGACTCCCAAAGTTCTCCTCAGACCTACACAATGTGTGCTATGGTGCATGTGTATGTGCACACATGTTCACGAGCACACACACAGGGGGCAGGGGGGTGGAGAAAGATACACAAGTATAGACTTCTGAGGACAGGTCCAGACAAAAGATGAAAATTATAGCTCTTAGAAAAAATGGAGGATGGGGAGGTGTCTGGAAGGGATAGGGGTGAATATGGTCAAAATATATTGTATGCCTGTATGCAATTTTCAAAACACAAATATAAAATATTATATTTTTTAAAAAACAGAAAAAGGAAAAACAGGACTGTTCTCAGAATTTTAAACTTCAAGTCAGACACAGTGGCGCATGCTTACAATCCTAGCACTCAGGAAGGCTGAGGAAGGAGGATTCTGAATTTGAGGCTAGCCTGGGCAACACAGCAAGATTTTGTCTCAAAACAACAAACAACCAGAAAGTAAAAGTTTAAGTCTAAAAAGAAAACATCAAAACAGATTAATGCAAGAGACAACTGGCTTCTAGAACAGCTAGATGTAGCCTAAATGAAGGCCTGATTCTCCGCCAGACTATCTGCATGCCACTAAGGGTTGTTAAGACTTGTGAGAGGCCAAAAAGTCCCTAGGACATGCGTGAACAACGCTGTCCAAGTGGTGCCCAGGGCACGGCAAGGGACACAGCTTTGCTGGGCAGATCCGTACATGGGCACTTTGCCAGTCACCTCCAATCTCCAGGCAATGTAGGCAGTGTTCGCACTCCTCACTGTCAGAACCTGGTTGCCTTCAGATCCCAGGTGTCACTTTCCTTAGAAAACTGTTGCTCACTCCTTCAGAAGAGGTTCCATGCTCTTCCTCAGGGCTCCCAAAGCCCCACGTGCCCCTCATCACACAGCACTGAATGCTGCATTGTTATCACTGCCTGCTGCCTTCTCCATCTCCCTCAGAATACTCTAAGCCCTTAAGGGCAGGGTCTGTTTGCTCAGGTTAACCCTCTGCCTCAGTCATATCACTTAGTACACTGTAGACTCAATAAATGTTGACTAGGTGGGTAACAGCAGGAAGGAGGAGCAAGGAAGAGACAGAAGCCAAGAACATGTAACACTGCTCTTAGTGAGAGATAACACCCTATTCACATAAGCAATAAAGAAAGGGCAGAAAGTCACTAGGATTTTTAAAGTAAACTCTGGAAGCAGTGACATTTAATTTTTTCTTCCATCTCAGAGACAAATTCAAAGGAAAGAATCTAGCAAGTACAAAATCTCTCATTTTGTGTTTAAAAAGTCTATTTTGAAACATTCAAATATTTTGTGGTCTGAGGTGTTAAAAAGATGAAAAAGAAGCAGAATTCATACCAAAAGAGGTAGTCCTAAGTCTAATTAAGTGCAAAATTTAACTACTAGTTACAGGAAAGAGTTAAAAGCAAGTTAAAGGACATTAGAAGGATGCATGCCATGAAAAGTTCCATGGGATGAAAATGACATAATTTGATCAATTAAAAAGGAGTGTTTTGTGATTAACAAAAAACGCTTATCAGCCAAACACACTGTGTACAGGCTTCATTTATATCATGATTCAGGAGAGGAAACTGCAAAAGTATGATTTGGGGACACTTTAGGTTAATGTGAACATGGACTAGTAGAAGATACCAAGGAATTACTGCTAGTTTTGCTAAACGTGATAAATCAAAATGAGTATATGTTGGGTGATTGGGTGTGTGGGTTTTCTTTTTTAAAGACCTTTTAAAAATGTGATGTTTCTGAGATGTGCTTTAAAACATATTAACTCATCCCTAACCCATCAAAACTGGAGGCAGCAGTCAATGGAAGAACACTGGCAAATCTCATCATTACTAAAACTCACAAGTGATCATCAGAGCATACTCTGAACTATGTCTGTGCAACTTTCCTCTTAAAAGTTTAGGTCTCTTTCTGTAAAGATAATCTGGCATTCTTTTAAGATATTCATGTTAATGCTATCTCAAGAAAAGAACAACTCAATTTTACACGTCCATATATGAAAAGGAAACAAGCAGAACTACTAGTACTGTATTAGCAGTATTCGTAGTGTTTAAAATGCAGCCAATAACAACAACAAAAATCAACTCTGCCTAGCAAAACTTCTTCTCCGTGTGTTTAAATGACATAGATCTGGGCTGGGAATATATAGCACAGATAGCAGAGTGCTTCCCAAGCATATATGAGGTCCTGAGTTTAATCCCAAGCACCACATAAACCAGGTGTAGTGGTACATGTCTATAATCCCAACACTCCAGATGTGGAGACAGGAAGATGAGAAGTTCAAGGTCATCTTTAGCTACATACATAAGGAGTTCCAGGTGAGACTGAGCTAGAGACCCAGTCTCTCTCTTTTTCTACTTATGCATGCTCTATCTATGTGTTTGAATATGTGTGCATGTGTATGTATAGAACAGAGATCAACCCTGAGTATCTTCCTCTATTACTTTCCAACTTATTTTTTGAGACATAGAGTCTCTCACTGAACCTGGAGCTCACTGATTGGCTAGGCTAGCTTATCCAAGAGTACTGGAGATCGGCCCGCCTTTTGCCCCTCTCCCACCCCCTGCCACATGACCCTCAAGGCTAGGGTTACGGGTGTGCACCACAGTGCCCAGCTTTTACTTAGGTGCTAGGAACCTGATCCTCTGTAAGCACTTTATTCACCAGGCCCTCTCCCCAGTCCTCCATCTCAAAATAAAATTTAAAAAATAAGTAAATAACATAAACTTGCACTTTCACCTAGATGAAATTCACTAAGAGGTTCAGGCCACAAGTCAGATTTTCTAACACTAAAAATCTTACACATATTTTTTATATTTATTCTTTAATTAGGACTACTCGAAAAACACCATGATATAAATTCTAGCTACTAAAAGCTTTTAATATCTTGTTTTATAAAATATAAATCTGAATTCTCAAAATATTCACTATTCTGATAGTTTCTTCATTTGATATCTATATCATTCTACAAAACATCATAAATAAATAATAGCCAAGCATTATCATCACTGGAAACCAGTTTTCAGAGTTTCATGCAATCGTGTTCATATGCATTCAGGCATTTTTCACCTCTAATGATGGAGAAAGAGAATACAGCAACACTTACAAATAGTTCTGCTAGTGTTTTTGTCCAAAGCTGAAGTTTTTACTTCTTCAAGTTCTGAATTAAAAGGAAAAGAAAATGTACTTCAGAAATTCCTTTTGGTTAAAAGCTTTAAATACTATAACATTTTTAAAATTTTTCTGACAGTGCTGGTTCTGTGAGAACATTGCTTGAACTAAGTAACAATGATTTGTTGCAAGAAAATAAAAGCTACTCTACCATTCTAATAATCATCAGTATAATCATCAATCAAGAAACAACCTGTGTCAGTTACTTAAGACGCTCAATGAAATAGTTTCTGTGGTCAAGAGTGGAGGGAAATTTTTTCTAGAGAGTTACACCTTTTAACATTCCACAAAGCACAAGTGTGCTTACTATGGCAGGCAGTTTTTAAAACAATATTTTTATCTATTATTTTTATTTGATGTGTTTAAGTGTATTGCCTGTATGTGTGTAAGCGCACCTGTGTCGTGCAATGCCCACAGGGGTGAGAAGAGGGCATTGGATCCCCTGGAACTGGAGTTAGGACAGTTGTTAGCCACCATGTGGGTACTAGGAATCGAACCCAGGTCCTCTGCAAGAGCAGTGAGTGCTCTCAACCACTGAGCCAACTATCCTACCTACCTACCAAGTAGGTAGTTTTTTAAATGTAATAGGCTAGAAAACCAGATAAATAAATACAACAGGATCAGACATTAAGCAAAAGTCATGAACATGAACTGAATGATTAAAGTGGCCAAACTATGGCCCCCAGATTAAGAAGGTGGTATATTTTAAACTTAAATCTAAAACTGAACAGAAGTTAGGCATGGTGGTACATCTGTAATCCCAACTACTCAGGAGCATGGGGACCACAAGCTCAAGGCCTGACTTGGCTATACCGCAAATTCAAGGCCTGCTTGGATAACTTAGTGAGACCCTGTCTTGAAAAAAATTTTTTTTTAATTTTTTAAACTTGTTTTTACTGATTTTTTTTTAATTTTATGTGTATGAGTTTTTTGCCTACAGGTATGTACATACACCCATGTGTACAATGCCTGGGAAGACCAGAAGAGGGTATTATATCCCCTGGAACTAGAGTTACACAAGTTGTTAGCTGCTGTGTGGGTGCTGGACCTTAACTCTGGTCCAATACAAGAGCACTCAGTGCTCTTAATCACTGAGCCATCTCTCTAGATCTTTAAAAAAAATAATAATAATAGAGCTATGGCTATAGCTTACTGGTGGAGCACTTGACTAGCATACCCTGGGTTCAACCCCCAGGATCGATCCATCCATCCATCCATCCATCCATCCATCCATCCATCTAACCATCCATCCATCTTTTCACTTACTGGTTATGCAAGCCTCGGCAGCCTCTCTAGGGCCCAGTCTCCCCATGCCATTTATTTACTGACTAGGTTGAAGTGTCTCTACAGTATCCTTTGGCTTTAAACTTACATGAAAGTAAGTACATAACTCATAGAACTAAAAATGTACCAAAGCATCAAAGCTAAAGACACTTATTTTTTATTTTAAAATTATCCATTTTTCAATGCAGGGTAGCTTTTTTGTTGGTATTAATCTGGACATTTGCCACTGTAACTCACTTGCTGATCTCAGGTGTTTAAATAGCACTGAGGAATAATTTCAACTAGAAAACTTGTTAACAGGCAGTTTCACAAAGAGGCCGTTTGCCTCTCAGCTGTACTGTTTTGTCTGGCCTTGGCCATGTTATTCAGATTTTCTGGAAACATACTAGCTAGGGTTATTGTAAGATTTAAATGGACTTAATACATGTTAAATACACAGTAAGCACTCATTGAGTTTATGGTTTGTTTTGTTTCTACATTAAACAGTAACCAGTTCTACCTATGAGTAAATTCTGGGCACTTTACCCTTGTGCTATATAAAAATCTAGATAACCTTTAAAAAGAATTTGTTGTTGCTGTTATTTTATTTATTTTTGCTTTTGTATGTCTGAGGGTTTTGCCTGGTAAGTGCACCACGTTTGTGCAGTGCCACAAAGGCCCAAAGAGAGCGTAAGATCCCAGGAACTGGAGCTATAGCTGGTTTCAAGTCACCATATGGTTGCTAGGAACCAAACCCAGGTCCTCCAGAAGAGCAGCCAGTGCTCTTAACTCTGTTAAGCCATCACTCCAGTCCCAAGAAGAATTCTTAAAAAATTTTTGGTCTTTTTTGAGACAGGGTCCCCCTGTAGCCTCAGCTGGCCTGGAATTCATTATGTAGACCAGGCTGGCCTTGAACACACAGAGATCTGCCTGCCTCTGCCTCTGCTGGGATTAAAAGCATGTGCCACCACACCTGGCCACATTCTTAAATTTTTCTCAGGGGCTGGAGAGATGGCTCAGTGAGGTTAAGCACACTGGTTGCTCTTCCAGGACCCAGGTTTGGATCCCAGCACCCATAGTGTGGCTAACAACTGTCCATAACTCCAGTTTCAGGGGAATCTGATGCCCTCTTCTGACCTCCACAGGCAACTGCATAAGATATGCAGGCAATACACTCATACACATAAAATATAAAATAAAAATAATTTTAAATTTAAAAAAATGTTATTATTATTTTTTTTTTATGTGTACGAGTATATTGCTTGCATGTATGTGAGTGCACCCATGTCATGCAATGCTGCAGAGGTCAGAAGAAGGCTTCGGATTCCCCTGGAACTGGAGTTAAGGACGGTTCATAGCCGCCATGTGGGTGATGGGAATCAAATCCAGGTCCTCTGCAAGAGCAGTCAGTGGTCTTAACCACTGAGCCAACTGTCCAGTCCCAACTTTAAATTTTTTTAAAAACTTTTTTTAATCAATTGACAGCATGTTGGAATGCATTCACATCCACAGTGATTTCCTGAGTAACAGATAATATAATTCAAACCCAAAATAACTAATTATTTATTAAACACCCACATGTGGCATTCTAATTTTTGGCTAGATTTAATTATCTTTTTAAAAATCTCTGGAACAGCACAATGCTTATTTTACAGATGAAAAAATGAGCCTAGGAGGTTAAAAGTACCTTATCTAAGCAGCCTGAACAGAGCTGTCATTCCAACCCAGGTTCACCTGACCCCAGCACTGCTTCTGCAGAGGAGCAAATTCTCAGTTCCCAGTTGCTTGGTGGCTCCTGTCAGATGTATCTACTTCTTTACCTCCCAGACACTTGGGGACTATTCCACATTTGTAATGGAAAAACATCTCAGTAGTTCAGACAAAACTGAGAAAGGGACAGCATGGGGCTGACACCCTGGCTACAAAGTATAGGGGATTACCCTAGATTTCATTCACCAATGTGCTTTCCTTTTCTCATTTGCAACTATAATCAAAACTTGGTCATAATTAAATCTGTAAAAAGAACAACACAATCCATTATTGATCTTGTATCTACATGAGACACAGTTTATTAAATAAATTCCTTACTTTTGTAGCACATTTTCCTTCGTTTAAAAATGAGGACTGTAAAATTTTGTGAAGAATTTACTGTCAAGTTGAGCTGCATTAGTATCATGACCTCAGAATCTACTTTGCCAGTACAGGAAAGCTCGACCCGAAACACTGTTTAAAAAAAGAGAAAAAATTTTAATTTTCTAAAAATCAGTTATCAATGCTCCCAATGGTACATCTAACATTTTTATTTATTTCTGCCCAAATAAAACAAAAATAATTTTTAAATACAGGAACTAAAGAGAGGCTTTTGGACACTGCCTTTCTATACCACCACAGCTCTATTCATTACATTTTGTTCACTATACATACAAAAGTTAATGTTGAAAAAGAGAGTAAGGCATAGATAAAGGGACAATTATTTTGAATACCTGTTTGTGGTTTTTATTATGCTAGTTTGTCTTCTAAGTTCTGCTATTCCAATACACTAACACTACAAAATCAAAACGCAAACCCTCTTGACCTTACACATCTCACCAGCAACAGTAACACCAAAATCACACGATAAAAGGAAACAGTACCAAAATGTAATTAAACATTGGTCCTAACTGCTTAAAAAATGTGAGTATCAGAATGAAAGCACTAACATCATCATTATATGTATTGTTACTTGCAGGGCAAATGTGAGATACCCAAAATAAACTATGCTACCACTCCTAGGACAGTCATCCCCTCCAGGCGTCCAGGAAAGGGGCAGAACATGAGAAGATCAGACACACTGAACAAGGACATGGTAGAGTTCTTGTTGGGCTTAGAACTGTGAAGTAATGGTTGGGCAGATACATATATTTCTAGGAAATAAATATATCACTATTGGGGAAAATTATAATAAACCTAGAAACAAAACTGACAAATTTTCAGCTATAAATTTTAAACATTTCTGTCTAAATAGGACTAGCTTTAAAAGGTATGTACGTCTGCCGGTCGTGGTAGCACATGCCTTTTAGTCCCAGCACTTGGGAGACAGAGGCAGGCAGATCTCTGTGAGTTCAAGTCAAGGTCAACCTGGTCTACATAGTGAGTTCAAGGCCAGCTGGAGCTACAGGGAGAAAGAAAGGTATGTATTTCTATTAATTTTACAAGATAGCTATTTCAGTCCATCTAATATTTTTTTATTTTATGTATATGAGTGTATTGCCTACATGTATGTAAGTGCACTCATGTCATACAATGCCCACAGAGTCAGAAGAGGGTATCGGATTCTCCTGGAACTGGAGTCATGGACAGCTGTTAGCCACCATGTGGATGCTGGAAACCGAACACAGGTCCTCTACAAGGACCTTAACTTTAACCACTCTTAACCACTGAGTCATCTCTCCAGCCCCTAGTTCATCTTTTTTTAAAAAATGTTTTGGTTTAAGATTCTTTTCCCACAAACTTAGAAGATATTATTCCACCATCTATGAGTATATCAGAGATTCAGGCATTTCTGAACATTCTTGATGCGCTATAAAAATGAGCCTTCCAGCACTGTCTAAAGCTCAGATTAACACATGTGTCACTAATGATGAATTCAACTGCCAGAAAAAGTTCTACAACACTGATGTAGTTTATGCTTTTAATTTTTTTAAATTTCCATTTTCAGGCCGGGCATGGTGGCGCACGCCTATAGTCCCAGCACTTGGGAGGCAGAGGCAGGCAGATCTCTGCAAATTCAAGGCCAGCCTGGTCTACATACTGAGTTCCAGGACAGCTGGGGCTACAGGGAGACCTTGTCTCAAAAAGACCCCCCCCAAAAAAATTTCCATTTTCTTAAAATCTCCCATGTTCTAGAGCCTTTCTGAAGACTCCACTCAAAACCTCTTAAAGTGGTAGAAATAAGAGACTTCTTCCATTTATTCAGATGTGGATTGAGTACCTGCCTACTTCGAACCAAGTGCTATGCTAGGCAACAACGAATCACCAGAGACTGCAGTTCATTAAGAGTTAAATGCAAGTTGCTACAGACAAGAACAGAAGAGTTAACCACTGGAAGGGGAGAAGGAGACAGGAAAAGGATGCATCTTACAGAAAGGATGCATGAGAATTCATGAGCAAAAATAAAGAAAGATGGTTCCAAATAGAGGTTAGCATGTGCAAAGGCCTAGGTAGCACAACTGCCCATAGTCTGAAACTGCTAGAATGCTGGGGCAAGTACAGCAGGAAGGGAAAGATTAGGAAGTCTGCAATATAACAGCTGACTACAGCAGGGGCACTAAAGGGTTTGATGCCCTGTGGTCAACACAAATGTAGGCTTACCATCCAAGCCAAGGTGTGGGATGTGGGAATTAAGCCAAGAGGGGTAAGACCAGAGACAAGGGCTCATGTGGAGGTCATGCCAGCAACACAGAAAAGTAGGGAAAGAAGACCTAAGCAAAGACAGCTGTAGAAGGATCAAACAGTATCCATCAAAAGTACTTTCCAAAGCACTTATATATCTTACATGAACCAGGTAAGGCACAGTACACATCAATAAACTGTCCTTTTAGTGACAGGAGAGACACTGTTGGAAGCAGTACACTAAGTCTGTCTTTAAGCAAGTGCTCTTACTCACCTGATAAAGTGCGTGGAACTTCCCCCTGAACAGAAATATTGACCTGGGGCATGTCCATAGCCACAAAATTGTCTACTTGGAATCCCAGCTTATATTCAACCTGTAAAATGGAAAGAAGTAAAACAACTGGACCTGTGACAATAGAAAGAACTTCCTTAATTAGCTCATTAATTAATCAGTATATAAGCCATTAATATGTACACATAGTCCCACTACCAAAAAAAAAAAACAAACTGTTATAGTCTTACGAATAAATAAACTGGATAGACATTCAACAAGCATGTCACTATCTACTTGGTGTCTAGAACAGTACCACCACTCTCCCCTAAAATCTACCAGCTAGGATGGCAGTCTTCCTGACAACAATGATATAGGGTGCCACCCCTGGGCAGGTGGGCCTGTGCTGCATAAGAAAGCAGGCTGAGCAGGGGCCAAGGGAGCAAAGCCAGTAAGCAGTGTTCCTCCATGGCCTGTGCTCCAGCTCCTGCTTCCAGGTTCCAGCCCTGAGTTCCTACCTTGGGCTCCCTGATGAACTGCAACCTGGGAGATGTAAGACAAATAAACCCTTTCCTCCCCAAGTTGGTATTGGTCAGAGTATTTTGTCACAGCAATGAAGAACAAACCAGGACAACTATCAAAACAGAAGCCCTGGGGGGCCAGGCATGAAGAACTAAGAGGCTGAGATACATAACTTACAGATCATAGCTACTTATCAATGTCTTCTCTAGTTGACACATGCCTAGCTCTAAGGGTCCCTGTGAGACTAACAAATTGTTCCAACACATGACTTTCTCACATAATATCTAAGCCATATTCTCTAGTTTACTCTTACCAACTGTTATACCTTTGATGTGGAATGTTCCCCAAAGGCTCGATGGGAGGTGGTAGAACCTTTGGGAGGTAAAGCCTGGTAAGAGGTTTGTTTAGGTCATTGGGGACATATATATACCAAAGCAGGATTATAGGATCTACCTCTTCCTTCTCCCTTTGCTTCATGGCTATGAGGTAAGTGGGCTGGGGTTTTGCTCTAATACAGGCTCCCATCATGAGATACTGGCTCACCACAGGCTCAAAGCAACAGGCCAAGCAGGTCATGACCTGGAACCTCTACAACTGCGGATCAAAACAAACCTTCATTGTTGACTGTCTTGTATATTTTGGTTCTGTGCTAGCAAAACCAGTAAAATTTACATTTGGATCTGTTTAACCTCTGGGCCTACTTCTGAAGTGATTCTGAGTATAGAAGTATTCACTGGAACCCTTGAGAGCACCAAAGTATTATCTATGAATACCTGTGGTCTGCCCAGCATGGTATAACTGAACCAGCCAGAATTAATCAGTTCAGTACTAATGCTACAGAGAGTCTGTGTGAGAAGCAGTTCAAAGAGCAAAGTAATAGCTGAAATTCAGAATAGCTCTCATCTTCAAGATCATCAAAAAGGCCGTGTATTCCATATCAATATGTCTCCCTATGGGATCTTCTATGCATAATACCCTTCTCTCATTCTGTGTTCACAAAGGTAACTGTGGTAGAGGACTAGGACTGGCAGAATCATGTAGCAACAGGGCGTGAAGAGTAAGAGTAAGAGGAATAAAGTCATTGTTTAAGAAACTTACAAAGAAGAGTTAGTGAGATGGCTTTGTGAGTAAAGGCACCTGTTGCCAAGCCTGGTGACTTGAGTTTTATCTCTGGGATCCACATGTCAGAAGTAGGGAACCAATTCCTACATTGTCCTCTGACCTCCACATTCAACATACACATGCATACTCAAACACACATGCTTAAATAGATAAATGTCCACTGGATGAAGACCAGATAGAGACTATATTACATGGATGAAACAAAACACTATCTGGCCACAAAAAGGATGCAGTCTTGTCATTTGTAACAACATGGATGGAACTGGAAAATGCTGTGCTAAATGAAATAAGCCAGGCCCAGAAAAGCTATTACTACATGACATCACTCATACCTGAAATCTAAGAGTAGATCTCAGAGAAGCTGTGAGCAGAAGAAGGGCTACTGAGGCTGGGAAGAGTGGCAGTAAGGAAGCGGGGAGACAACAATGGGAACCGAGTTACAGCCAGGTATGGAACTGCACAGTATGGTGACAAGAGAACATAACAATGCACCGTATGCATCAAAATGCTAGAAGAAAAAAAACCTCAATATTTTCACCAAAAACAAATGCTAAACACTTGAAAAGACAGGTAAGTTTCCCCTGACTTAAATATTTCACTATGTATATGTCAAAAATATCATGTGGCACCCCATAAATGTGTAATTTTCATGTTTGTCAGTTAAAAATAAATTTAAAAAAGAAAACTAGGAAGAATGGGAGACAAGAAGTGGGGTATTCTAAAATCTGCCTTTCTTCCCTTTCAAATGGGAGTTACTCAAATACATCTATATGCTACCCCCCCCAGAAAAGTCAATTAAATAATACAAGGGAAGGAAGGAAAGAATATCATACCAAACTATAGTGAAAAGACAAGCCCTGGGGTCACAAAGGGCATGGGTACTGTTACCCATTACTAAGAAAGAGCTCAATCCAGGCAGTCTACTTCCCTTTTGGGGTTTTCCTTTCATATTCTATCTCAAAGTCCTTGCGCTATGCATGGTAGGGGTAAGTGAATATTAAACTCTCCTTTCCAGTTAAGATAGGTACATAAATGGGCTGGAGAGATGGCTCAGCGGTTAAGGACATTGAATGGTCTTGCAGACCCGGGTTCGAATCCCAGCACCCACATGGCAACTAACAACTGTCTGTAATTCCAGTCCCAGGGGATCTGACAGCCTCTTCTGTCTTCCACGGGCATAGCATGACATGGGTGCACTTACCTACATGCAGGTAATATATGCATACATATAAAAAATAATAATAATAAATAATATATTTGAAGAGGAAAAAAAAAGATAGGCACATAAACAACTGTTAAAGCCTGTATAAGGTACCATAACAAAGGAAATAGTCTTGCTGCAATACATCAGTGATTTACTGTTACCAAGCAAGGGGCGTTTATTCTCTCTCAGCTGGTCACTATACTATTACCACCACAAAGGGGTGCTAGAGAGCTATCACTAGAAGTGTAGAATAGGAAACCAGTGTGGACTTTCGAACAATAAAACTGTATCTGTACACCTATCTTATCTCGGAACAGAAATAAGCATGAAGATTTGGAACCATCAGACCATGTGACCTACACAAATGAGCAACGTTTCCAAGTTTCAAGTTTTAGAAAATGAGTATAAAACAGCCTGATGATCAAATATAGTAACCAATACAACACACCTAGCTGTGATACTGGCCCGGGTCCCTCTAATAAATGTAAACTCTATGGCACTGGCAGTCTCCCCCACTGCCACCTTGTATTTCCCTGGAATCACCAGTCTCCTGCCAAGCCCAGGGTTTCTCATGCAAACTGTGTTCCCCATATGAGGAACCTCACTATTCTGTTTTTTGGGTTGGGGGGGTTGTCTCTTTTTATTATTCTGAACAGTCTCCCCCACTCTCAATCGTTTCATGAGCATCTTCCTAACCTTCTCTTCCAACTTGGCCTTCCCCTGAGGCAACCTCTTCCTCAGCCTGCTGTTCAGTTTCTACACCTAACCTCCAGGACTACCTAGTAGGGTCGGCATCCATGAAGAGCCCTAAGGTCCTTTCCAGAGGTTCTCTCCTATACAAAACCCTCTCTACTCCGAAGCTCACTTCTACTCACAATGGCCATGTCTCATGTCATCTACACAGTGACACACAGGACTCTGCAGAGGCTTTGGCTGCCAGCTCCCTGGTTTCCTGCCATCTTTCTATTAGCTTCAAAACTCAGTGTTCATACTACCAAACTTCATAACCAAAACAGATACAAAAACATTCATTCCATTGAAATTCTGAGCACTACTAGACCACCCACCTCTGATTCCTACAAAAACAGTTCTTTGTGTTCACTACTGTACGTCAGACAATACTTATGAGGCACATTTATGAGCCAAGGGCCACTCGTAGAGGGGGAATATAGTGGTCAATTAAACTACTTCCTTCCTCTCTAGCACAGCTAGAACCACTTGTTTCATGTTCCCATGCCCCAAGGGCGACATCACTGACAGTTATGCTGACACACTGTCATCTGGTTCACTCTCCTCTATACCCTTGTTGGTAGCATCCCTGCTGCCCTTGGCTCAGCCCAGTGGGGGAAATGCTATCCTGGAAAGAGGACCTCCAGTCCTGTCCTCAATGGTTGCCCTTCTTCCTCTTCATTCGCCTTCAAATCCCTTACAGACTCACCAGCTGCTGCCTCCCTGTTTCTTTAGACAGTGTTCTTGTTCCCTTCGGCTGGCGTAGAGGAGCCCTCTTTGTCCTCTTTCCAGCACCAGGCAAGCCTATCAGAGCATCTACCCCTAGCACTCTAGCTCCAACCAAAGGTCCATATTCTTCTTCAAATGGTAAATCCTTCTCGAGTACACTAGGTTCTAACCCACTGGACCACAGATGACATTTAGTGCCTTCAACTTGCCTCCCTCTCGCTCTCCTTTATCTTCTCCAACCACCTACTATGAATATCCACCTAACAATTATGCAGCCTCAAATTTAATAGGTACAAAGTTTAATTTACTTTTTCCCCAAATGTGCCAGGTCTCCATAAGAATATAATGTTAGAATCCAGCCTCTGCTCAGGCCACAATATCTATAAGCTGCCTTCTCTCACTGATACCAACAGGCACCTAACTGAGAAACTGTCTGTGAGTCCCTAGCGACCAGGATCTCTCCCCTGGGAAGTGAGTTACATCAAAGGGAGTATTTGGTGCCACATCCTGCTTCCCTTCCTCTTGCCTAGGAATCAAAAGCTTGTGTTGTGAAAGCACTCCCAACCTCAGAAAGGTATTTAAAAAACAGACCCCACTTCTGCCATGTGGACTCAGATTCCTCTCTCCAGCGATTCTGCCATGTTGTCTCTAGTACCCGGGCTTGAACTCTCCTTGGAGCCCCCACCATGCTGTTGCCTCTGTCTGACCATGGCATTAATAACTTTTCTAATAAACTCCTTACTCTCCAATAATCCGTCTCAGTGTCCCTCTTGAACCCCTATACCCTGAGGCTTTTC